GGGAGTAACATCTTACAATATCTTTTCCAACACATTTTAAATGAGAGAAAATTAAAATATACCAAGTGACAGATCTCCCTGTTCTTGGATTTGACAGTTCTTTGTTCCCTTCACCTATTTGTTTGGTGAAATACATCCACCACATATGTTAACTTTGCCCCATTCGAATACCGAATCATCTACTGAATGACCGACCACCCACATGCGGAGTGTGCCACTTGCTGACCCCATTAACCTCTGCTAACACCTTTGTAATCGCAAGCACCTCAACATTATAAGCGGTCGGCTGGGTGGTCATCGTTTGTATGTGCGAACATGTGGCGGCCGCCATCTTGGGACACGAACACAGACAGCGGTGTTTGGTCGTAGAGTCTATGGAACTAACATCAGACACTTGACGGCGCAAACACCGCTAAGACTTCCATACCCAAATATGTTCGGCACTATTTACATGAATAAAGCGGCATTCGGTAGAAGCATCCCTTGAACCACGGATACTCTGGGAACATATGCACAAACTGTTATTTATTCATAAAGATTGTGTATTTTTTATTCCCGAAAGACCGACCGCACAGATTGATTTCATGGAACTATTTTGGGCAGGCTCCTCTTGTGTGGTTGGTCTAAACCCCGGTGGCGTTTTGGCTGCGTTTGTGGGATCTGAGCGCTTTCAGGATATGTATTTTTATTATGCTTGTCCTGGACCTGAGAGGTAATGTAATTATGTGTGTGCTTATGTTGCTGTTCCCTCTCAGGTCCAGTGGGGAATGCCCCTGGAATGTGTCACCAGAAAAGGCCAGCTGTGGCTCCCATTAAAGCAGTTCCAGTTTTACCCTTAACACAGAGCCTCCTCTCGTGTCTGTAGGGAACGGCGATAAATATTTCACTATGTTTTAGGATCTTCACTTTCCAGGATTATTGCAGCTCTACTCAGATTGGGGCAAAAGAACGTCTCTGGAGGCGAAAACCCTCTTCTCATCGGCAGGGCCAGATTAAGAGCCCAGTGGACCTGGTGCTGACAATTATGACGGGCCTAATTACAGAATCATATCGACCAAAACCAGTAAAACACTCCCAAGCGTCATGTATCTGATGTGGAGATGGTGCTGGAGAAAAAGAAAACAGCAGCTATAAGAAAACACATACCCTAGGCTAATCTCTCACTAATTTATGTTTTCATCTTTCAAGTAAATCCATAACCCCTAACAGCAGTGTCCAGTCGAGCAGGAAGTCAATGGGCACGGTAAAAGGGTGTGCCACTGACACAAATCACGTAACCTGCCAAAAGGGGCGAACATGCCCAAAAAGAGGATATGTCTGCCCAAAGAATTAGAAGGCCAGCCTGGTATGAATGCATGTCAGGCTGCCTGCCAATCATGCAGCTGGCCAACTAAGGGCATACTATGCAGACAGCACCCTGAGCTTGGCATAAATGCATCTAATGATATGCTAGCTCTGCGCTTTCTAAGGACTGTCCCCTAGCACTCGCTGGTCCACTTGTCTCCTTACCATCTTACTAGCAGGCAGAAGCTCCTGGTATATAGTCTGGGACAGAGAAAAGCTATATGTAGTGAGTGTAGAAGCACATTGTTAGAGAGACCAAAGTCAGCATTACCTTAAAGGCTCACTATAGGGTCAGGAACACAAACATGAATTCATGACCCTATAGTGTTAGACCACCATCTAGGCCCCCTGGGCCCCTCATGCCTCCATAAATATAGCAAAATCTAACTGTATTCAAGCCTGAAGCTGTAACTCTGCATGCTGTTAGAACAAATTCAATAAGCTGTAGTTGTTCTGGTGACTCTAGTGTCCCTTTAACTATATTCATTGTCAGCAAGTTTTGTTCCCATACATCCCTCTTAAGTTTCCATACTTAAGTAAGGGTATGTGAAAAGTAGTTAGGGTTGCCACCTTTCTTGGAAAAACATACCGGCCTTGATAATTTGCATAATTAAATATGTATGGATGACATCACATGATGTAAATCACAAGGAGTGACATAAGAGAAAATGCTGTAAAATCACCAAAAAACTACTTAGTTTGATTCTGCTGTATAGATGGATTCCTCCCAGTGGCCCCATGTCTCCCATTGCCCCCATGTGTCAATTACTCCAGGTCTCAGTGTTCCTATGTATCAGTGTCTCAGTACCCCATGTCTCCCAGTGTCCCCTAGTGTCGTGTCCCCAGGTCTCCCAATGATCCTATGTATCACTGTGTCTCAATGCCCCATATCTCCCTGTGTCCCCATGTATCCCAGGGTCCCCATGTCACTAGGAAGACGGGAAGACCTGGGGACACGGGGAGACCTAGAGACACGGAGACACCAGTGACACTGGGAGACTAGGGGACACTGGTAAAATAGGGAACACTTGAAGACATGGGGACACAGACACCAGGGACACAGACACTAGAGACACTGGCTAGAGGACATGGGGACATTGAGACATGGGGGCACTGGGAGACATGGGGACAAAGAGACACCAGGGCCACAGACACTAGCGACACAAGCCTGGAGAAATGGGGACATTGAGACACTTGAGGCACTGGGAGACATGGAGGCACTAGGAGACATGGGGGCACTGAGACACCAGGGACACTGGCTGGGAGACATGGGGACACTGGGAGACTGTGTCTGTGTCATAATGTCTCCCAATGTCCCTTAGTGTCTCAGTGTCCC